GGTGACGTCATAGATGTGCCCATGGAGATTTCTTGGCAAGGACTACCAAAGCGGCTTGGAATTTTTGTTTTATTTCTCTTTCTAACCTAGAATCTGGGATTTCCGGATGGACTCCATCCAAGTACTAACCAGATCAAACTCGGTTTAGCTTTTGTGCCCAGGCCACCAGATGCTCATCAATTCTGTGCATTTAGAACATAAATTATATATCATGAGTACTATCCAAAGCATGTTTTAAAACATCAATTACAAATGGGCATTGGTTCTGAAGCACAATTCCTGCTCAGTGTTGTTTTCCATTCCGCATACCCAGCATTTGAACGAAAGAATTTTAGAAGAAAAAGAACAATGTTACAAGAAACTGCCTTTGACAAACAACTTTTATTCAAAAATTCATAATATAAATAACACTATTTAACCAACTTGGAAAATGATACAACAAAACAGGTCGGTGCTTTTGCTTGTTATTTCTATCATGAAAACTGAATTATAGAAGATCCGTGTCTCTGAAGGCGTGCTGTAAAGTTTTAACACTTCCTTAGTGCCTGCCAACAGATTTTAAAGAAGACTGTATTTTCAATTTTTTAAAAAAACCAAATAATCAGTGAAAAATACTTGGTGGCCACCTCACTTTTCCCCAATGTGTGTCGCAGGCAAACACGCATGTTTAACCCACCATTTATCGCTCCCAGGAAAAAAAATCTGAGAAAGACCTGGTTCATTGTTTTCCACTTGGCAGTTGGACTAATTAAAGGCAAGCCAAACGGATTGCTAGTATAGCTGAAGGGCCGCTCTAGTGCCCTTCTGCTGACCTTCAGATGGAAGGTAAAGTAAAGGTAAAGGTTCCCCTCGCACTTACATTGCTAGTCGTTTCCGGCTCTAGGGGGCGGTGTTCATCTCCATTGCAAAGCCGAAGAGCCAGCGCTGTCCGAAGACGTCTCCGTGGTCATGTGGACGGCATGACTAAACGCCGAAGGCGCACGGAACGCTGCTACCTTCCCACCAAAGTTGTCCCTATTTTTCTACTTGCATTTTTGACGTGCTTTTGAACTGCTAGGCTGGCAGGAGCTGAGACAGGTAACGGGAGCTCACTCCATTATGCGGCGCTAGGGATTCGAACCGCCGAACTTCTGACCTTTCCGATCGACAAGCTCAATGTCTTAGCCACTGAGCCACTGCGTCCCTTTTTCAGATGGAAAGAGAGGATTAAAGTTTAAGGCCTTCCAACATGTGTCTCCAACGTTTCTTATTTTGTCCGTGATTTAATTTACATTTTACAATTACATTTTGATCTCATAGAATCATAGAGCTGAAAGGAACCTCAGAGATCTTCATTGCTCGCTAGCCAAGGCAGGAGACCTTATACTGGAGGTCCCCAAACTTGGCAACTTTAAGACTCCAACTGGCTGGAGAATTCTGGGAGTGGAAGTCCACAAGTCTTAAAGTTGTCAAGTTTGGGGACCTCTGCTTTATACCATCCCAATCAAATGGTTTTCTTATTTTTTTTCCCTTAAAACCTCCAGTGATGGAGCACCCACAAGTTCTGTAGACAAGCCATGACACTCATTAGTTCTCACTGTCAGGAGGTTTCTCCTTAATTTCAAGTAGGATCTCTCTCTTTGATGAGCTTTCACCCGTTTCTTCTTGTCCTGCCCTCAGGTGCTTTGGAGATGAAGACAGCCCCCTCTTCTCTGTGAGAACCCCTCAAGTAGTCACCCCTAGCCTTCTTTCTCTCTGATAGACTTAGACATACCCGGTTTCCTTCTCTGCTCCTTGCATGGTTCACTCTCCAGATTAATATTAGTGGATCTCCACAGTGAAGAAAAATTCTGGTGAAACATTTGTTGTTGGAAAAGAGAGTTTTAGGAAAGGAGGGTTCAAGAACCCCTGTTTTTGAAGTACCTATGAGTCAGTTCAGATCCTTAGCCCATTGCTATCTGTGTTTTGATGTCAAAGTGGAGATTGTCTACTAACCCTTTTTGATTCCACCTATCCTGGTTGTCCTACCACTTCTTCGATCACCTTGGACAGAAGGTGCATGCCAGCTAACCCATTTGTTCAGGTCAGCATTCAGTGTCCTCTTTGTCAAGATGCAGCTAACGTCCCTATTGTGTGGGTAGGGTGTGGATCCTCCCCATCGAGTCAGTTTACATATTCAACTCTTAGTCATCCCAGGCAATATAGATGCTTATGGCCCTGCCTTTGCCACTCGTCACACGATGTGCTGCCTCATGCGCTTTGTAATGTGGGCTTCGTCACAGTCACCTCAGAAACAGATTACGTGAGCATAATCTTCCTCCCTGGCATGGCATCTCCTCCTCCTCCAGCTATACTTAAAATATAATCCTATTTGTATTGGTGTGGTGGGATTTTTTTCCCCCCCAGTAGAATGTGTCTATGTCAGATCTAGGCATGAGGAAATGCTGTATGACTCTTTCATCTGTTCTATTATGAGTAATTAAATTATTATTTAAAAGAAGTCTGGACTTAGTGCTTACATCAGAGTTACGTTAACAGTTCATGAACAACAGTATGCAATGGGATATGAAGCCATTGCATAGCGTTCATGTGCTGTTAAAGTAATTGGCAGCTTTCAAAATACTGATGTTGGTAGCCCTGTACTGTGCCATTTTAGGATTTCCCAAAGGCAGGGGGCTTTGTTTACTCCAAAAAGTTAGGATATAGTGATGTGTGCAACTCTTCTTCAGTCAGGGATCAGGGAAATATCATAAGATAGTTAAAATATTTCCTGGGTACCCATGAAATAGATACATGGTTAGTAAACAGAATAAAATGGTTAGCAAAGTCAAGACGTGCTTCAGTGACAAAGACTATTTATTTTATTAATTTTCTACACTGTCTATCTCACCGAAGTGGTTTACAAAAAATAGTTGCTGGTAAGAATCAGAAGGTAGTTGTGTTAATGCATTCCTATCAAGACCAAGGTAACTCCTTGATAGCAATTCAGAAGTTGTCTCATCATATCCTCTCCACACACAAGTGGTCCTTGAGTTACAATCGGTTGTTCAGCAATCATTCAGAGTTATGACCGACCCAAGAAAGGGGACTTACGATCTGGTTGTAGATTTCCGATGGCTGCAGTCATATGACTGAACTTCTGGTGCTCAACATGTCTGCATTCATGGTGATTTGCAGCTGATTTGCAGAAACCCTACAAGATTCTACTCTATATCTGTGGTTTGCGCCTGGGATGTGCTAAACCTTTCACGGTAGAAGAGCGTTGGGGTTTACCTCTTAAAATCGTAAGGAAATTGTTTTTTAAATCAGCCATTAAACAAATATGATGCATGGAGGGCCAAAAATAAGACAGGTGATTCCATTTGTATGTGTCAAAGGGCTATATTCCCAGCTTTTATCTGAAATATAATATTCTCCACTTCCATTTCAATGTTTGTGTTGCTAGATCACAACCAATTCAACAAAATCAGTGGTCATCCCAAAGGTGCTTTTCAAAAGGCAATTGGACTTTCTTTGTTCTTTTACCCCTTGAAGATGTTTCACTTCTCACCCAAGGAGGCTTCTTCAGTTCTGACTGAACAGTGGGGAATCAGTGGTCCTTGGAAAAATTAGCCAATTATGACTAACATTACACGGAAAAGGACAAATATATCATTGTATGTGGCAGATATCCTGAAAACTATTATTATTCCGTGGAAGGAATTTCCCAGGGACTCTCCTGAACAGCCCGTTCTCTTATGTAAACTGTAATAGTGGGAAGTCAATAAAATAATTTTCTAAAATATTTAGCCTCCTTTTAATGGATTAGAGGTTTGTGTTTTCCTTTATTAGGAATTTTGTGACATGTCTTAAATCTTTTGATCTCTGTTCACTAGATACCGATGAATCAGCCTTCTCTTTTGTAATCTTTCTGATTTCTGTAATAATTCTGGGAATTGCATGTAAAGATCGAAATCAGACCTAATGGCACATTTAATGACACGATTGTGACATGATTTAGAAATAAGAGGTGAAGTAATGCAGTGATTAATTCCGTCTTGTCATTGGGGCTAAAATATCCCATGTGTTTCTTCTGTCATCGCCTTCATTTATTACTATGTAAATGGGTAATGAAAATTCCCAAGACAATTTGCAATGGCTTTCCACACCCTATTCCTGCTGTTTCTTATTGTATGCAAAAGGGGAAAATCCTAGCATTAGCACTCCCTATTCTAATTATGTTCATTCACGAGCTACAGCTTCCTTTTTCAAATCCGCTAAGATTCTTGCATAATTCCTTTTTGCATCTGCTCTTTAAAGGAATGGGTGTTTTATTTTTAACCATGTCAGAAATAGAATAGAATCGTAGGGCTGGAAAGGATTTGCGCCAAGATGTGAGTTTGTTGTCCTCAAAATTGGGCTCTTGCTTGGCGTCGAAGCTAATAAGTTACCGGACGCAAAGTGTGATACAATATGCTTTTATTTTGGTACCAAGATATAAGGACCCTGGTTCGAAAGATAACCAAAGGCCTCAATGAGAATTTTACAGCAATTTTTATAGTCAAGGGGTGATCTCATTCAGCCCTTTGCCCTTCCCCTAACAATGCATGCATAACAGATAAAATTGATTGGTTATTTGGATCTCAGCCCCCTATAGAGCTAAATGTCGCGTCATCTGTTTTTCACCCCAAGGTCACGGGTATCTTGCAAAGTGTCCTAGTTTCATGTGCCAGCTACGTGGTTTTTGGGGTTTTTCATATAAGCAAGCTATTCTTGGGCCTAATATCCTGGCTAGTGGTTTAAGGTGCTAACTTCTGCCTCGCTAAGAATGTGCAGTTCCAACCCCTTTCCTATTGCAGAGCAGCTCAAGGTAGCTCCCTCACTCCCTGCGACCCCCCCTCCTTCCACAGAGAAAAGGAAAAGCAGTTTTAAATCTTTATCTGAGACAGCACCCCCACTCCCACATGACCCTCCTCCTTCTGTAGAGAGGGACAGGAAGGAGCAAGGCTGCTTAAGACAATAGGAAATATGAAGACAATAGAAAATGTATCAGAATTCATATTCCTTTTTCTCATGTCCATTCCATCCATACCTGGATCCTATCTCCACATATGACCCTTCATCTGATCCCCAGGGCCAACTATTTACATACATTCCATCATCTGATCCTTCAAGTCCTCATACTATCCTGGGCAAATAAATGGTTGTCCAATCTTTTCTTGAAAACCTCCAGTGATGGAGCAACCCACAATTCCTGTTCCACTGATGAATCGTTTTCACTGTCAGTAATTCTTCCTTGTTTCTCCCAAATCCATAAACAGAAAGTGAAATATTTTTTTTAAAGGCTGTTGTGAAATTTCCCATTATTATTTTTTTGAGTCATAGCTCACCTGTAGGGAGATAAGCCAAATGTCCTTAAGGCAACAGGTCAGGACAAGTCAAGTCAGATCCATAGGTCTTCAGTTAGACTGATAGAACTTTGCTTTCAATGTTGGTTAAGGATATTTCAATCTTGCCTCTCCCCCAAGTTGTGATTTCAAAGGATAGCAGTTTTTAATTACACTTCCAAGTCTAGTAAAAGAAGAAAATAAGAGCTGGAAAGGTTCATTGGGTCATCATGTCCAACTGTGTAGCTGAAGAAGAAATATAATTGAAATTCAGTTGAATGCAATGGAGATCTCCACAGGAAACAAACATGGTATTTCAATTAGTAAATTTCAGGTAAACAGTGTTCCTCAACCTTGGCTACTTCTAAGATGTGTGGACTTGAACTTTCAGAATTGTGCAGTCAGCTATGCGTGAAATCAAGCAAAAGTAAGCTTAGTTTAGGAAGGAATTAATTTTGGAGTGTGTGGTGTATGGAGTGTGTGGTGTGTGTGTGTGTGTGAAGAGAGGGGGAGAAACTCACACCAAAATTATCTCTTTTTTGGCTATGGTAGAAATAAAATTTCTATTTTTTTTTATAAAAGTAAAGTAGAAATAAAAATTCTACTTTCCAACTGATGCTTGAATCAAACTGGCCCATCACCAGATTTTAATTACTGATGGACCCAAAGGTAACTAAAGGTAGCACAGCTACACATTGTTGTACATTATTCGGCCTACATGAAGTTCTAGATTTTAAATCTAGATTCCATAAAGCAATGAGCAACTCCTGAATTAATTTTGACATGAAACGGGTGTCATTTCCTTGAAGCTGCTATGTTAAGTATACAAGGAAACAACAAGGCAAATCTCTTTCTCAAGAAATGAAACCCTTTTAGGTGAGACACGTTTCAACATGAGCCTTGTCACACAACTTTGAAAGAACAATGAGTTCTCAACTAGAAGCGAAACAAATCTCTTCTTCTGCTCTAGTATTATTTAAAAATAATAATAACTTGCGAGCATAGCATGGATATAGTTCAGCCAGAGTTCTTTATTGTAATGGGAGAAAATTAAGCTCAGTTCAGAAAGTGAAATTAGCTTTCCCTGGATGGTGCCCAATTTTTAAATCCTTGTTTTCCTTCCACTATTATTCTGACACAGGCTATTGTTAGTGTGGCTTCTAAGACTAGAAGTCAACCCACATTCCTTCAGGGGGAGAGATGAATGCTTCAGGTCACGTCCAAATTAGCTTTTCCCAGCCCCTCCCTTATTAGTTGAGTCATCTTGACCAAAGGGCAGAATAGAGAAATCAGTGACATAAGGCTGGGGAAATCATGGGGGCTTTAATATTCCCACCAGCCTCTGATTAAAGTTGAGAATCCCCAAGAATCTGAAAGTCCAGCAGAACTAAAGCAGAGGAACAGATGATATTCATAGAGTCCTGTTTCTGGAGAAATAAGTAAACCATTTCAGCCGGATATTGCATGAATGTTTAATTTATTTTTATTTGCTTTATGCAAGTCAAATCTAATTGTCTCTGTCTGTGCCTCTTTATATAACTTACAGAGCTGAGCCTTTAAACTTCAGCCTTCAATCCATCAATAGGGCTCCTGAACACACCGAACTTTCTCTAGAATTTTCCTGTATTCCGCAATATTAAATTATTTGAAACATCTAACCGGTTTCTTCTTATAGAGGCTTTGGAGGCAAAGACTGAGCCATTTCTGGATCTGCATTTCTTTCTGTGTTTTCTTTTAATCTGCTGAAAAACTTTGCAGTCTGTCTGCTTTATCATTGAACGTTGCCATTTTTGAGTATTGAAAAGAATGTTTACCAGTCTTGTTCCATCCTTTTTATACTATATTTGATTTCATTTATTTCATGTGAGATCGAGTGATTTCTCACAGGAAAGCAAAGAAGGGCTGAATCCCTCTAGCTAAGGCCCCACCCTCCAAAACTCCAAGACCAGGGGGTGCACTTCATTAGTTGTTATACTTTTTCATCCCTAGAAAGACAGGACAGAGCTATATGCAGTGGTGGGATTCATTTTTTTTTTTACTACTGGTTCTGTGGGTGTGGCTTGGTGGGCATGGCAGGGGAAGGATACTGCAAAATCCCCATTCCCTCCCCACCCCACTAACCTGCTTGCCAGCTCCGTTCTCCTGTGCAGGGCAACAAAAGAAGACCCAGCCAATCAGCTGGGACTCAATGGGAGGCAGAGATTAGATGATGGGCGGGGCCAGTCAGAGGTGGGATTTGCCGGTTCTCTGAACTACTCAAAATTTCCACTACCAGTTCTCCAGAACTGGTCAAAACCTGCTGAATACCACCTCTGACTATGTTACATAATTGGGTTTCGGGGGAAAAGGTATCTCAGCCTATCACAGTTGTAAGTCGCAGTGATCATAAAGCAGGTCATTATGTGATGGATTTCAAAAATCAGTCATTGTGCAGGGTGCCAAGATGTCTGACTGCCTGGGCAGCGTTTATTCTTTTATACCATTTTTACAAGCAAGGAAGAGTAGCATAGATACAGCATTTGGATTGGAGAATAGATACCACATGGGTGAAACCTCCCAACCACATTGGTACAACCTCCCAACCAATCCTTAAGAATAGTGGTGATGTTAGTAAAATGAGGTCACCTATAAGTCCGGAAAGTCTCGGACTTTCCAACCCAAGATAGAGAATGAGATCATGCAATAACAAAGTGGCCCCTATAGGTTGAACACTGCAGTTTGCTGCTAGCGCCATCTACAGGATCTCAGTAGCTACTACAATTATGTGACCAATCCGATTTTACTACCTTTATTTGAGGTGCTCATCAAGCCATAATTTTTTTTGCTAAAAATCAGGGGGTTTGGGCAAAAATGGAAATTGCAATCCCAGGGCTACAAGACATTGTAAAGAGCTGTAAAAATTCAGGAGGTGGCACTGGAACCTCAGAACTAGGATGTAAGTACCTTTTGAGGGCCCTTCGTAACTTTGAATAGTTGCTAAGTGTCCAGTTGTAAGTTGAGGTCTACCTGTACTTAGGATGTACTGACTAAAATGGGCCAAGGATGGTGACAGATACTCTGCCTGTGGCAAAGTTGTGATTAAGATTGATTAGTGACCATGGATTCACTTGATGACTGTCCTGAATTTACCCTCTCTTTCTTTTATTAGAAAACGTAGTGTTGAAAGCCTCAGTTGACCAGAGGATGGTGGGTAGGTAGAGATCAGTATCTGTTGACCCATCCCTGGTGACCTTGTTGACTTGGAATGTAAGAAGTTGTTCTACCTCTTTTCAGCAACTTCTCAGCCTTGAGGATTTGTGTGGCTGAATTTGGATTTTAGCAAGATAATGGTTGCATTCAGCAGAGAGAGATTTAGAGATAAGTTTGGCAAATCCTTTTGACAGTTAAGGATCAACATTTTCTGACAGAATAGAATATAATTCTTTATTGGCCAGGTGTAGTTGGACACACAAGGAATTTGTCTGGGTGCAAATGGTCTCAGTGTACCTAAAAGAAAAGATACATTCGTCAAGAGTCAACGAATCATAAGGTACAACATTTAATAATAGTCATAGGGTACAATAAGCAATCAAATCATACTAGGAAACAGTTAATAAAAATCGTAATGATACAAGTGACAAGGTTACAGTCATCCAGTCACAAGTGGGAGGCGATGGGTGATCAGGAGTGATGAGAAGATTAATAGTGATAGTAACACAGACCTTGTAATAGTTCTTTGTTCACTTTTGGAAGGAAAGTTATTCACCAAACGAGATACGATGTGTCTTCGGTAATACAGTGGTGTTTTTTTTTTAAAGGGATGTTTTTCTTCATTTATCATTACTTGTATATTTTTAATCTTACACTAGGAACTCTTTTGAATCCAGCCTTTCCTGGATTCTTATAATGCATCTCTTTCTATTCTTCTCAGTCCACCTTTACTCCTCGTGTATTGTTCCAAATACAAAACGAAAACATTCAGGGCAGGAGCACTGGTATTGGGTGGGTGGGTGGGTGGGAATGGAATGGGGGGAACTCTAAGGACATCAGTAGCAGTAACTCAGGAGAACAAGGACAAGATAGAAGAGGGAGTCAAGCTATTGTCCAAAGCACCTAAAGGCAGGACAAGAAGCAATGGATGGAAACTAATTAAGGAGAGAACCCTGAACTAAGGAGAAATTTCCTCACAGTTAGAACAATTCATAAGTGGAACAACTTGCCTCCAGAAGTTGTAAATGCTCCAACACTGGAAGTTTTAAAGAAGAGATTGGACAACGTTTTGTCTGAAGTAGTGTAGGGTTTCCTGCCTAAGCAGGGGGTTGGACTAGAAGACCTCCAAGGTCCCTTCCAACTCTGTTACTCTATTCTGTTCTATTCCTCATCCACGCAGCAAGAGATACTTTAAAAATGAGGTTAATATTAGAAATTGATCAAACTTATAGCAATACCAATAGCACTTAGACTTACATAGTGCTTTATAGTGCTTTACAGCCCTCTCTAAGCAGTTTTCAGAGTCAGCCTATTGCCCTCAACAATCTGGGTTTAATCTGGTGTTAAATCATTTTTTAGCCCCATAACAACTTCTTTCCCCAAGGACAATGTCTAATCCTTTTTGGACCAGAAAATATTTATTTGTTGAATATATCACTAGCTTCACCCGATTCTCAGCAGTTTTCAGTCATAAAATTAACAAACCAAAAAAGAATACAGTAAAAAAAACCACAATGTTGTAGCTCCCATCCTCACCATATATGCACAATTAGTTGTGACAACTAATGAATCTTTAGGTTGCAAATGATTTCTTTTTAAGGCATTTCTCAACAATTTTAGCAACAGTTAAACAGGTAGTCCTCGACTTACAGCCACAATTGAGTCCCAACGTTTCTGTTGCTAAGCAAGACAGTCGTTGAGTAAATTTTCCCCATTTTACAACTTTTCTTGCCACACTTGTTTAACTGAATCTCACTGCAGTGGTTAAGTTATTAAGCCTGTTGTTAAGTGAATCTGGCTTCCTGATTTACTTTGCTGGTCAGAAGATGATCCCATGACCCCTAGGACACTGCAACCGTCATCAATATGAGTCAGTTGCCAAGGGTCTGAATTTTGATCACGTGACCCCCAGGGGGATGCTGCAATGGCTGTCAGTGTGAAAAATGGTCATAACTTGTAACTTTGAATGGTCGCTATATGAATTGTTGTAAGCCAAGGACTACCTATACTGTCAGATCCTCAGGATCCCCAATAGATTTCAATTTCTTGTTTTTAATAAATTTTATTAATTTTCTATTTATTATATTTCTTAGTGCTTGATCAACACCGTGTTGTCTGGGTATTTAAATTGCTTAACAATACAAATTCCCTTCTTACTCTCCACCCCTTTTTTTTCCATCCGCTGGAAAAACATTTTCCATTATTTGGTAATATTCTGTGTCTTCTTTCCAGTTTTGTTTTCAATGTAAGTCTGTCCATTTCTGCACAACCTTAATATCTTCTTTATTATCTCTCCATCTTGCGGTGCTTCTTCGTTTTTCCAACATTGTGCAAAAATAATCCTCGCTGCTAAGACTGAAACCTGTTAAGGTTTCGATTTCTTGGTAGTGAGGAATCCCATGCTTTGTACCGCGTGGGACAATGGTGGGATTCAATTTTTTTTACTACTGGTTCTGTAGATGTGGCTTGGTGGGCATGGCAGGGAAAGGATACTGAAAAATCCCCATTCCCTGCCCACCCCACTAACCTGCTTTCCAGCTCCGTTCTCCTGTGCAGGGCAACCAAAGAAGACCCAGCCAATCAGCTGGGACTCAATGGGAGGTGGAGAATAGATGGGGGCGGGGCCAGTCAGAGGTGATATTTGCCCGTTCTCCGAACTACTCAAAATTTCCACTACCGGTTCTCCAGAACTGGTCAGAACCTGCTGAATCCCACCTCTGCCGTGGGATAAAGAGTGCAGGAGAATTCTCACCTAGAGAAGGTGTTTGTGAAGATACTTTGGTGCCAAGCCATGTAGAGCTACAAAGATTGAAAATTGCCTCTTTCCATTTCCAGAGTTGTTGGATCTTGGGTAAGGATATATTTGCTTATGAATAGAGCTAGCTATCTCTTAAGTGCTGACATCCACTGAGGGATATTAAGGAAGGTGGGGGCTGCTCTCCGGGAGCAATTTTCTCCATTTTTCATTCAGGGAAAGATAATATTCTGCCTCTTTAATATTTCTCAAAATATTTCATTCTTCTAGGAGAGGGATGGGTGGTAACTTTCTACAGTTGCAAAAAGCAAAAAAAAAGCCAAACCCCCAAACAATGACAATTTGACATCTTTCAAAATAACGTTGGAAAGTTTCACGAGCTGTTTCAACACATTCCAGAACATAAAGTCAAAGGTTATTTATTTGGAACAAATTCTATACTTACAGGACATCTTCAGGGCAATGTTTTTGAGGCCCTGTCCCTCACTGGATTTCCAGTTTGGGGACGGATTCAGATCAATAGCGCAGGTTCTAACGGGGCATTTTGAGTTTGTTTTTTTCTTTTGCTTAAAGAGAGATAAATATGATGGCAGCATTATGCTTAAAGGGTGCCAAATCAGGTGCCAAAGATGGTCATTTGTAGGATGCCTGGCATGGATTTTGGTTGGTGGGCAGCTGGCTTCCCAGCCTGGCTCTCTTTAGTGATTAAATCACTGCTTTTCAACCATTCTGTGCTGAAGTCACCCTTTTTGCAACAACCAACCAAATGATGAAATCCTGGACATTGGCCAAGAATCCTGTGGGGGCTTCAGGCCGGTTCTCGCCGACATCATTGTTGGAAAGAAGTCAGGAATGACAGAAGACAGCTAGTCTTCCTCCAGCTGTGCCTGGGGAAGAAATAAACACCCATGATAGTCAAGCCTCATCTATTAGGAAAATTTCACACGATCATTTTAGAGACCGTTCAGTTTAATTCTTAAAACTGCGACTGTTTGAAAAATGTGTTGGCTTTTACGATCTAAGTGTTCCTTTCTAATCTCTTATTTAAAATGCACGGGAAAAGATTGTGTTCGTTTACACGCTGGGAGCTTTTGGGGTGGAGGGTTTAAAAAAATTGTGTAAAGAGGAGTGGGGTTTAAGATACGTAGTGACCACTGTAGTGACTTTTTAACCGCTTGCTGCAGATGCTTCACTGTGTATGGAAAGAAACCCTTTAAATCAGGAGTCCCCAAACTTGGCAACTTTAAGACTTGTTAAGACAGATATTCTAGGAGTTGAAGTCCACAAATCTTAAAGTTGCCAAGTTTGGAGAGCTCTGCATTAAATCAATACTTTATTTCGGGGAAGCCCCGGTCCATTCTGCTAATTTTAGAGGTTCCAGCTGAATGAAGTTGCAGTACTGCTCCAAGTTTCATGAATGGGTGAAATGCCTGCTCTTGTATATGGAAGCTTTAGGTGGCCTTTATTTATTCTATTCCTAGAGAAAAGTATCAATGTCTAGGATAGCTATTTTTTGTCCCTGGAGATTATCCCTCTGGACGTTAGGGGTGAAGATCAGGTTTTGCTTTTACAGCAGTTTAAGATGAGAGCTGCATTATTCAACAGTGGCCAGGATGAAGAACAGCATTAATTTTCATCAATTTTATGAAAAGGCTGAAGGTTTTGTGAACTGCAGGTCTATTCTTCAGATCCGTGGAGGGGCTAGACTGGTGCCCAGATCTCCCGAAAGCTTCTGTCCTTTCAATAAAACTTGGTTAGTCTGATATTCGATTTCCAAAATTTTCTTATGTAATTTTTGGTTAAAATTTTCTTGTTTATCATTTGGTGCATATATTGCTATTAGTTTGATACCTGCGCTTCACTACAAAACTATGTGGTCGGGCTTAGTTTTGGGGGAGGGAAATAAGGGGAGGGAAAATCTGCCTCTGCCTACCAGCATCCATCAATATTCATCTGGCTAGCGTCCTGTCAGTGTGAGAAAGTTGAGGGCTGTTTGGAAACTGAAAGAATATTTGCTGTGTGAGCAAGGAGAGAGCAAGGAGCCTGGGCGTGGCTTAGCTCAACTGTTCTGTGAAACTAAAACTGAAACTCCTCTCCTCTGCTTGTGTTTGGCATTTGGAAGAGATTTCTTTTCAGGTGGGGAGGGGGAGTAGAACTCCTTAGCATCAGAGCGTATTAATAATAATATAGAAAATACTAATGCTCTGGTGGTCATTTGGAAAAATCCTTTCTTAGTAGGTACCTAGAAGCCAAGACGAATATACATGTCAAATTTCAAGTTTGTAGGCTTTACGGTTCTGGAGATTTTGTGATGATGCATGAGTGGTATTTTGCTTTTATATATATATATTATCAAAATCTTTTTTTGTTTAGTTATTATTTCCACCATCAAAATTCTTCCTTCTTCATCTGAATATATCTGTTTAGAATCCAATGATTCTTTTATATATCAGACTACTACTCTCTCTCTCTCTCTCTCTCTCTCTCTCTCTCTCTCTCTCTCTCTC